GGGTGGGTCACGAGGGTGGAAATAGAGAGGTGGGTTTATAAGTTATTAAAAAAAAACCAACTTTGGTCGGAGTTTGCGTCAGACTACAGTGAGGGTGAAGAGACACGAACTATGACGCGCATTCCATTGAAATAATGTAACTTAGACAGAAAAAAAACTTGGATCAAATGTACCACAATTAGATACACCAAGAATTTGATAAAGTACTTTCCGATTGTTGAAAAGCATCATTTATCTCAGTAATTCCCACATATAGGCATTTATAGTTTCCAACCTGCATTGATTTTAATGAAAAATCTAAAGGATGACTCTCTTTCTCTCTCCTCCTCTCTGTGTGTATCTTCCAAGAGTATTGATTAAGTACATTCTCAATGATAATACGCTGATTTCAAGTTCACATAGCCTCAACGACGGTTTGACGTCACTTTGACCAAAGCCCCCTATCTGCCAAGCCTAGACTGGGTTATCGGCTCGCCTTCACCACAAACTGCCCGTTTTGATGGAAAGTACATCGCGCACCCATATTCTCACTCACGCGTGTCCACGACCAAATGACTCATTCATATTTCGACCTTGGGGTGTGCGATAGACTTACCTCCTCGTGGTGCTGCACCCTAGGCAATATATACTCATACGACAAAAAAGCCTATTAACCTGGGCAACGTATACTCATACGGCAAACAAGTCTATAAACCAATGGGCAACGTATACTCAAACGGCATACCTCCACGTGGTGCACCCTGGGCAACGTGTACTTACAACCTCCATGTGGTGCACCCTGGGCAACGTATACTTATGCGGAAAAAAGTCTATTGACTGGTAGTTGACTTCTCACTTCAAACTACCATCACCCCACTGTATAGTTGACCACTGACTTCAAACTACCATGACCCCACTGTATGCCTTGACTTCTGACTTCAAACTACCATGACCCCACTGTATGTTATGACTTCTGACTTCAAACTACCATGACCCCACTGTATGTCGTTTTCGACCTCTTTCACAGTACTCATCTTACCTTTTCTTTGCCTTTGTGTCTGCCCGTCACTTTTAGATCTGTAAATCAATCTTCTGTTCCCCCACTCCACTTTGATGTTCCTTCTCCTCTCTGTGAAGCCCGAAGTCAGCTAAAGGACTAATGATAACTATCAAAACGCCTGCCATTTGAAATAAATAAATATTTCCACCCACTCTCTCTCTCGAATAACCATCGTGTGGTTCATTCAAAGCACTTTGACCAGAACAACTCTTTCGATCCAATTTTTGAAGCCGATGCTTCTGTTAACCCCTATAATCCAGAAAATTGATCATACAATTGCCAATAGTAATTCTTAAAAATGTTGATCTACCAGATCCAGTATGAGAGATAATAGGTAAGTAGGGAATTTCTCCAATGCAGAAAGAGATGCAGACTACGACATCGTAGATGGAAAATTATTTGAAGATTCATCGGATGCTTGTTAATGAAGCAATATTAACTAAATACTTCTTCGTTCTAATGCCGTAGAACGTCATTGTCGTCTCAAACAGGCTGATATTTGCATGTCGACGGCGCAGCATTTAGAGTTCTCATAACCCTTCAAACTCCGACAAACATGATTTACGCGAGTCTTTACAGAGCCAAGATGGCTCAAACCATTGGAGATACTAAAAAACGTGGTAACAACGATGACTAATTGAAAAAGCGTATAATAACAAGCCTGTTTTTACTTGCCGGAGTAGGAGGTTAACAATTGTGAATTTAGAGGATATAAGCTCAGTATCCACTGGTGCATAATTGCTTAACCTTATTGGTTGGACAAGGGCAGAGGAGAAGAAGTAATTTCATATAAATAGACCTCCAAGATGGTGCTGGAAACTATTCTCTTTTGAACTTAAAAGAAACTCTAAGACTTCTTTCAAACTGACAAAGGATAAGAGTTGAAGGATGTGGTCTTCAGATGAGTTTGACACTTTCATTTGCGCTAAAAAATGGATTTCCCTTTAGGCAATCTCCCCAATCTCCTAGGCTTCATATTAACAGAACTAAATCGCAAATACTGAATATCGCTTGTTGGTGAGCGATTGAAAAATTCTAATCATTTACTCCAAATCAGTATTGGTTATCGTCTCATGAATAACTACAAAATTTGGAAAGTAAGAATATATCCTGAGGGCGTTATCTCTCCTACATTATACATGACCACAGATACAACCATAGAGTTAACACACAACCTAAAAAATGTTGACACCTTGTTTTATCACCGGTTTTTTTGTTAAGGTGAGGGGAGGCTGGTTGTACGGGGAGGGGGGAGGGAGAGAGAAATAGAGGACAGAAGCTGCCGTATTTGCATACCAGACACGCACAAATAAGTCCGAAAAAGCAAGCACACAAATAATTTTATCCAACGTAGGTGTCAGGACAAAGAAAAAAAACGAAGGTAGCTGATAGGCATGCATGCGCATGGTTAAGAGGGATTGAGTAATTTGAGTTAGTGGAAATTGGGCCGCGGGAATTGTAGGGGGTATAGACGACTATACGATGTACCCTTTGTTTCATACTGAATAGAATGGGTGTGTGCGATAGACCTACCTCCACGTGGTGCACCCTGGGCAACGTATACTCATACGGCAAAAATGTCTATTATTCGGCAGTTGACTTCTCACTTCAAACTACCATGATCCCACTGTATGTCATATTCCACCACTTCCACAGTACTCATCTTACCTTTTCTCTACCTTTGTGTCTGTCTGTCTCTTTTACATCTGTGAAACTTTCTTCTGTTCCTCCCCCCCCCCTTCGACTTTTTTTTTACTTTGATGTTCTTTCCCCGCTGTGAAGCCTGAAGTCAACCAAAGGGTTAATGGTAACTATCAAAACGTCCGTCATTTGACATAAATAAATACTGCATAGAATGTACACTAAAACTTAATCAGGTAAAATCGACATCCCAACTCATCTTTTGGGAAATCATGTGCATGAGTGATTCATTCCTCTGTGGGCACTAAGTACTAATTTATCAACGTGTCCTTATCGATTTGCACACGTAAGTCCAATCAGATGCCATCATCCCTCTTATTGATTTATTTGTTGGTGTTTGATATTCACCATTAAATAACTATTTGCTTAACTATATTCTATACACAACGAACTAGTCATATCACTCTCTCTCTCTCTCTCTATGGAGTGTGACTATTGCATTTCACCTCGCTCAGGACCCCAAAGTCTGGTCTTACAATGCCATTATTTTAAGATATGCTTTAGTCAAGGCGTAGTGACTTTACCTAATTCTTGGAATGTGAAGTGAGTAGATATGATATGGGATATGCATTGACAATCACTATTTACAATCCCTATTATCAAACACACATTCCAATAATACGCCAACCCCTGTATTGAGGAGATAGCCAATTATTTCCACTTAGAGATACCTAACTAAATACACCACAGAAGTTTCTGATTATATTCCGAGTCAGGTGTTCGAGAAAACGTAGGTCTCCAGACAGCAATAAAATAATAATCAAGTACCCTGCATTCCAGTAAGTATTGTGTCTCCGGAAAAGGTTAAACTAAACCACACACAATGATGCAATCAAAGGTTTGAAAGAATTGCAAGATAATTGCCTCCCTTATATCTGCTGTTAAAAATCAACAAGTTGGCGGGGAGGAGGAGGGGAGGGGAAGGCGATTCCCGTCTTTAAATAAAACCGACACCTGGAGAGATATCATCAGTTACTTTTTTGCCAAAATTCCAGGCAGCTTTCGACAGAGATAGGAGGGGGGGGGGAGGGAATTTTGGTGCCAAGGGAGAAAAAAAAAACAAGTTTATGGGAAAAGTATAGTAGAATATATGCCCTTTATATATAAAGTAAATTAATTTCAATTAAGAAAACCACGCATTGAGGGGGGGGGTTTGACAGGGGAAAGATCGACAAATTTTGGTATTACATGGAAGAAAATTTGACAATGAATAAATTCAGCTTTTTATGATGCTGTCAGAAAATTGGAATATCACGAATGAACACCAAAAAAACAATGCAAGATAAACAGCGTGAATTCATCACTTTTTTCAAAAAAGAAGAAATAGATGCTCAAATATCCCCCTCTTCGATAACCCATCAACAAATATTAGCATTGGGATAGAATTAAGCAATGAAATCTCGTAATATAACCGAGGTAAAACGCATTTGAAGCATAGAAACCCAACATCAATTAACAAATTCGTGCAGAAGCCAATATTCGAAAAAAAATGGAAAGGAATTGTCCCACACACTACAAAAGACATCAATACTTCCAAAGCCTTCATGCATATCAGCTGATTTAGTTGCCCCAGCGTCGATATACTCGAAGTCTAACGCAGAGGGCAAGGGTGGTTAAATCGCCATCCATTCGAATGTCTCCCTCACAAAAAAGCCAATTCAAGAGGTCAATGAAAACGCAGATTTGAAAAGGTCTGTGAAGAGGTGCAAGTTTGAAAGGCAAAAGAACCTAAGACTATTTTAACCTGAAGTAAGGAGTGAGAGAGAGGAAGGCTTGAACCATGACGAAAATGGAACGCGCTGGAAATCGAATACAAAGAAGCTCTAATTTACTAAAAAACACATACGCATGTGAGTGCAAGAGCATAGCGTATAAAGTGATAACATTGACGAACCATGGAACAATTATAACTAAGAGAGGAGTTGAACAAGAAATGCTAGATTTGTAGTATCTTACCAAACGACGGCATTTCAGGAGTTGAGCAAGTAGATGAGGAATTACATGAAAGCGAAGCAGCTGCCTGTCTACACTGCAAGTGGCAGACAAATCCACATTGTTGGCACCTCAAACCTTGCCACTGTTGACCAAGTAGGAGGCTGGCACAGATTAGGCACTTCGTGGGTCGATTGAAGCTCTCTGAGACGAGTTTGTGCGTGTTGACGCTGCTGACGCCGCCGCCGCCACTGCCAGAGGCACTTCCACTGCAAAGGGATAGCGAGACGGACTTCTCGGCTAGTGGTGTCCTATTTTGGTGATTCGTATTCTCCGCCATGGCGTGAGCCGAAGAGGTTGCTATTCCATTCAACTGCAAGAAAAACAAAAGAATCAAAATGGAAGTTCTGGAGAGAAACAGTGTACAGTCCTGCTAGTCCCCCCCCCCCTCCTACAGCTAATCCATCGCATTTAATGGACAGTCACACTTAGCACTCTTGGACTGCATTCAAGAAATTGGCCGTCATCACCAATCGAATTTGAGTTATGACCAGGTGTTTGCAATCGTGAGTTAAAAGTTACCTCAATTCCTAGGTGGTCTGTATAGCCTCTTCTCATCATCAGCAACTAAACATTCTTTTTCTTATAAATTCACGTCCGGATGGAATACTAGGATCGAAGTGATCATTGAAATTAGTTGTCAAGTATGATAAGAATTGAAAAAAACTACTAGAGAAATGATTGTCCACCGTCAGTAAGTAAATGCCAACTCAGACGAAAGACACCCCCCCCATAAACACGTTATTTATACGGCTATGGGTTCACTTGCATTTTATACCAGTCTATGTTATCACATTGGGATTAAACTTTCATCGAAGTAATTGGAAAAAGGAATTTAGCCTTCTTGCAAGACAAACGACAGCAAGGCTTAAAAATGATGGAATTAGAAAGAAAAGCATTGATCCCTTCAGTGCCAATATTTCAACGAAAAAATCTCATCAGATATTATATTGTTTATGCGAGGGCAAAAAGTCTATAAATCAGCAGTTGACTTCTGACTTCAAATTACCATAACCCGACTGACTGTATATCATATTCTGCCACTTCCACAGTACTCATCTTACCCTCTTCTCTACCTTTGTGTGTCTGTCTCTTCTACATCTACGAATCACTCTTCTGTTCCCCACCCCTCGACTTTTTGTGACTTTGATGTTCCTCCCCTCCCCTCTTTGAGGCCCGATAACTGTCAAAATGCATGCCATTTGATATAAATAAATAAATATTATTTAAGCGTGCATTGTAGCTATACCATCTGTTTCTATGTGTCTATAATTTATGAACAGACAGACGTAATTGCCACTGGATATTCATAAAATATCAACATAATGCGGTTTGTAGATGAACGGACCATTGTATAAATAAGGTAACGTTGTACCGCTAGCAAGCAAAGAAGAAACTATTTTAAGATCAAAAAATATACCCTACCCAATGATTGTGGTGATTTCAAATCAAGATTGACAGGCGAGGAGAAATTCGGACGCCTGATTGGACGACTAATTACATAGCAACATTCCATTTATCCACCTACCCCCGCTATTATATAACCATCATGGGGTGTGCGATAGACTTTACCTCCTCGTGGTGCACCCTAGGCAACGTATACTCATACGGCAAAAAAGTCTATTAACTGGCAGTTGACATCTGACTTCTAACTACTATCACCCCACTGTATGTCATATTCGACTACTCTCACAGTACTCACCTCACCTTTTTTCTACCTTTGTGTTTGTCTCTTTTACACCTTTTAAACACTCTTCTGTCCCCCCCCCCAATTTTTTTAATTTGATATTTCTTCTCCTCTGTGAGGCTTGAAGTCACCTAAAGGGCTAATGAAACTATCAAAAAGCCTGCCATTTGATATAAATAAATATATCCATCATTATGCCTTAGGATTTGAACATAGTGAATGAGAGAATTAAGTAGATGAGTGTGGAAGGCAGGTAAAAAAACGACCAAGAATCGAGGAGGCGTTAGGCAAGTTAACACAGGCGCGCCGGCATTGAGGTCACCACGTGAAACGGACATTAGGGTGACCAAATGAGAACGAAACCGCGTGCACATACGTAATTGCACATGTGCGGAAGTTTAGAGAAAAGGAATAAATGCGAAGCTCAAAACGTTCGGTAAATACCATGGCATAATTTGATCACTTCTCTCAGTCTAGTCATTTTGAAGATCGATTCGAATGAAATCGATACCTATTATTCTCCTTAATCAGTTAGACACACTTGTAGCGACTTAAGCACAACAGACTTTCCTATGTCATTAAGTGGTCCACTTTTCACGCAAGTGATTGTAAAACTATTCTGTGAGCTAGTCAAGACCTGCTAGTTCTGGATATGTTTATGCAATAACCAATATATATATTACAAGAACTACTATTAATTACTATTAACTCATTTCCTACTATGTTCATTTATCGATGTCATTACGTCACATGGGGAAACGCCTTATTTTGACCGCCTGAGCTAACCCATTCGCGTTGCATTGGTTCATTGCCTATTTAAACACAGTGATTAGCGTATTCGGCCGACAAGTCGAAGGTCATGGAATCCGCACCCCCCTCCTCCCCCCCCCCCCCCCCCCCCCCCCCCCCCACCAAGGTAGACGGTGGGCGGAATGACATGAAACACTGATTAAATCCGGTGAAAGGGGGGGGGGAGGGAAGGAGGGGGTCAGAATTAATTTTCCACCAAGGTCATTTCGAAACGCATTGGCAAATAGGCTAGGAAGTCATGTTTTTTAATCACACTCCAAAAAAACCTCTAGACAGGCATGAATACTCACCAATTCAGCACGATGGAATGCTGATTCATCAACCTCCGCCGTCCTCATTCGTGACCTACGCACTTCATTTGTCACTAAAACAATAAAAGACTGCAAAATCAAATCAAATCGCAGTAAGGGCAAATGGTTAGGTAGGTAGCAAGAGTAGTTCAACAAGGAAAATGGACGACTGAGAGAAAGCTCAACTTTCCTTAGTTGG